CTCCTCTCTCACTCTCCTCTCCCTCTCTCTCTCTCTCTCTCTCTCTCTCTCTCTCTCTCTCTCTCTCTCTCTCTCTCTCTCTCTCTCTCTCTCTCTCTCTCTCTCTCTCTCTCTCTCTCTCTCTCTCTCTCTCTCCTTCTTCTTCCTACGCTTTACCTGCAAATCAAAATCTCACATACACTGAAAGATAAAAACAAATATACACTACACAGATGAAAAAACCCATTTGAGACTCTCGTTGAAGGTGACATGGAGCTGAGATCTGAAGAGATCTTCTATTCAGTTTCAATCATAGACAAACACACGCCTTCGGTGTTGGTTCGATTCGGGGAAGAAGAAATCGGAAGCAGAAATCTATGGAAGGTGGTGGCAATCGATCGCAAAGGAGGGAGTAATTCTAGTTCTTGACTAATTTGAAGAAAGGAGAAGGATAACAAAATTAGAAAAGAAAGAAATACCTAAGCAACTAAGATTTTTGGTCAGGTGGTCGAGGTTTGTCGAGCAAGGAACGAACACCTACGGTGACCTCACTGGTTCGTAGAGGGAGGACGAATCGAAAGCAGCGAGGGCTGCTGAAGCAGCTCCTGCGCTTCTCCTGTCTCGAAAAGGAATGAGAAATGTGGGGGGGGGGGGGGGGAGATGGTACGATGGAAGCAGGGCAACATCAACAACAGTTCAGGTGGGTATGAAGTCAACGAAAGAAGAAGAGAAGGTTCGAGGGGGCTATTGCCCTCTTGTCTGCTGGAAAATCTCCACCTCCCATGGGGATTTCTTTGATAGAAACTGAACAAGAAAAGAGAGGAACAAGAGCTGAATTGGACAATAAAATTTGGGGGTGTTTTGCTTCTTTGCTCGACAGAAAAAGGAAGAAGGAGTAACAAAGGGTTGTTGCTCCTCTATTTACCAGAAAATAGCAAGAACACCACCTCCAATGGAGGTGTTTTTGGTTGCCTATCGGAGAGAGAGAGAGAGAGAGAGAGAGAGAGAGAGAAGAGAGAGAAGGTGGGACCATTTGTAATTAAATAATAAAATAATAGTAAAGGAAAAAAAAGAAAAGGAAAAAACAAATAGAAAAGGGCAAATCCGTCATTTGAAGAATTTTTAAAGTGCTTTGGACCGAACTCGCAACAAAATGAAAACTTTGGACCTGTGGTGCTAGTCCAAACTTTTTTGGACCAAAGTGGCAATTTTGAGCAAACCACATGGACCATTTGTGCAGTTTAGTCTTTATTATACAAATTTCATTTGATCCCAATAAGGCTGTGGGGAGTGGTCACAGCCAACCCATCGAAAAAGTGTTAACACTTCTGCGCCACGTCAGCTTCACCACTAAACCACTAGACATATGAAATGGACACCACTCCACAATATTTTTTATACATTAAATTAAATAAAAAACCTAATTAATAGAAACATAGAAAATAATAATAATAATAATATAAAAGTCTATGGTGGAATTTGTAAATTTTATAAATCAGTTTTGAGAAAAAAGTTTAGGAAAGAGATTTGTTCCGCTTTTGATCCAAACTCAAGGAACAAAAGTTGACAATTGTTGAAAAATGTGTCTTCTTCCTGATTAAACCAGGTCTCTATCGGCTTCCTCCATTAGAACACCTGCAATAGAATTTGTATAGATTCTTTTCGTATTGTCTCCAACGACTCCGTTCAGTCAAAACGGGAAGCAACCAATAGCGAGACTCGTCTTCGTCCGTCTTCATAGAGACGCCACACGCAAGCCACTGGGCCTGGGGATGGTGTTCACGCGTCTTCAGACCCTCCAGCTCAGCTTCACGCGTGGGTTGAGCTGCCCACTCCGGATAGCCTAAGAAGACAATAAAACCAACGTATTAAAATGAATGTAATGATGAAAGGTAATTTACTAAAAGTAAACCGAAAAAGTTATACTTGTAGCTATATAAAGCAATTAAAACTTAACCCAAAATCGAAACCGAACATAAAACTGATGTTATGGTTTTAAATCTTCAAAAATCCACAAATTTCAGTCGAGTTAAGTTTTATACTGTATAACTGCACCGCAAAAACCGAAATAACCGCATTATTATTTATTATACATATTGAATTTATATATTATTTATTTAATACAAATATTGTCAAAAAAACCATTTTCATTTTTCAGTGGTGTATTTAACAGTAAGGCATATTGGTCGAATGAAATAAAGCAACTATAACATAATAAAATGCAACTTGCAAGAATAAAATTGGCCAAAATAGTGATTATTTGCAACAAAAATCTAGAAATAAATGAAGTCAACGAAATTCTGCAAATAAAAGAAAGTCAACTGAAAAATCTGGTTTGGACATGAAAAGCCGTATCGTTTTAACCGGAAAACCGCATCAGCTCATTTTTCAATTAAAAACCGAAACTGCACCGAAATAACCGTAAAACCGCACAGAATCAAAACCGTAAATTCCGGTTTTTCCCTATAGATAACCGCAACTTGTGGTTTGTGGTTCGGTTTGACCCAAAAACCGAACTGAACCGCACCGTGCTCACCCTACTGCATTGAATGCAAAAATAAGTAGTATTACTGTATGTTTGATAAATCTAGTTGATAGCAGGAAGTTCAAAGCTGGAAACTGTAAGTTGTGCTTTTATTTATGTAGAAATGTTCGATAAAATTATGTGTATACTTTTTAAAAATATAAAATAACATAAAATGTTACGATCACAGATCGGCCAAAAAGTAAATTAAGTTAATGGTTTATAAGTCTAGGTGTCTTTCCTACAAGCTAACTTTTAATAGTGAGTTTTACACTTTGACTTGATATAGGCTTAGTATTAGATGAGCTCGTATCATAAAACATAAAAGTTAAAAGCTAAAAATTCATAGAAGCTAGTTAAAATAACTTTTTTGGATTATGATTTTTTTTATTTGAAGTAAAAGCTTTGTGTCCATAGTCCTAAACAAAAGATTTTTATTAAAAGCTAATATTTAAAAGATTTTTATTAAAAGCTAAAAACTAAAATCTCCTAAAAACTCTTTGTCAAAGATACACTAATATTCAAAAGATAAATTGGCGAAAACTCGAATTTTTTCGGTGACCATATTATATTTTACCATTAATTAAAGAATTGTTCATTAACCTTAAGGAAGATTAGATACCATTCTAGAAAGCAATCAATCCAACAGAATTTGAGATTATATTTTATCACTTTTCCTATCCATAAAATGTCTTTTCATATACTGTTTTTAAGATGTTAAAGATATCTAATTGTCATGAATTTGTCGATTCTTTTAATAATTTTAAAAGAGCACCACCATTAGTGGCGAGGGGGACGGGTGATTGAGGAGGACTATTGGTGGAAAAGAATAAGCAACAACGGTCGTCACCATGCACCCGCCGCACATGCATTTGTCAATATATGTTGCTATCAAATTGCATCTATCAACCATCAATTGCCTTTTCTTTGTTTGTTGTCGAAAAGTTTTGGATTTGTATCATCACATCAAAATGATAGTTACATGTTTGAGCATTTGATTTATTTTTTGTGGGAGCCAGTTAAATCTCTTCTAAAGAAAAGTTTTGTTGTATTCAATTATCTATATGACGGTGGAATGGATGTTTGGCGGAAAAAAATGATTTTTTAAAAGCTTAAATTTTTATTTTTTTCTAAAAGGGTTTGTTCATAAAAAAAAAAAATCGTTTTAAACTTTTTTTTTTTACAAAATAAACCTAACTTTTACCTATTCTATGTTATTTCATAAATGGAGTGGCCATTTAACAAAGTTGGATTGGGTTTTTTCGATAAAATACTCTATACTTTTGTTTTCTGTTTTTTTTTTTTTTGACCTATTTTTTTTTTCAAAATAAACCTAACTTTTACATATTCATTGTTATTTCATTAATGAAGTCGGTTACCAATAGTTATCAATATATCTCACTCACTCACATGCGTCCCAAACATTCGATCACCTCAAGTCGTTTAGTTGGATAATATGTTTTCAACCACGAAGTTGGTTTAAAAACTTCATAACAAGTAACCAATTTCTTCTAATATGTCATTTTTAGCATAATTTCACTATGGTTATGATTTCCCCTGTAGAGCATCAATCTTTCTTCACCAAGGTTTCATGTTAGAGTTAAAAATCCACTTACACACAATGCAAGTTCTTAAAAGATCAACATGATAATCATCATCTTCCTTTCTAGTGATTAACAACTCATAATATTGGATTAGAATGGAAATTTCCATGATCAAACTCATTACATAGCCCACTCCCCATTTTTTTCTAAACCTTAGTGTTATCATCAACACAAGAGTAAACGAAATATCTTATATTGTTTGATGACCTTCCTTGTAAAATGTATGTGGTCTCTTTACTCTGATCTTCCGTGATACTCTCATACACTGAAAATTACACCATGCAACGTGCACACATAGATCTAGAAGAAGAATGAACCAAAATGAGCATGATTTCCTTTTAGTTCGTTGGTCAAACAAAAAAAAATGAACTCAGACAATGTGAGTGTGATTGGACCAAACACATCCATGCCTTTCCTGGTGCAAGTTCCGGTAAGCTTATAATGCCTAAAATTCTCCAACTTAAAGACCATGCTCGGTCCATATAGATTCTCTTCATTCCCATGCTCAGTCTATGATAAAGCAAATTTTCTCAACAAAAACCAATTATTGAAGGTTCAAATGTTATATTAGCTTCCTTTAATCCTCCTCTATCCCTAAGTGAAAGGTATAACTCCTTGATTCTTCATATTTGGCATTAAAAAGGAAACTAATGTTTTGTTTAGGTATAACTCCTTGATTCTTCATATTTGGTCCTTGATGATTAATATCTATCGAGTAATGTCCCGATAGGTTCCTAATGATCTTATGACACCTACGAGCTTTGTGTTACTTCATAATTGATTTCAATTCCATGATGTGCAAAGAATGACCTAAAAACAAAAGTATTGATGAATCTTAATGTATGAAAGGAAGTATGTGAGGTAGTGACAGTAAATGAATAAAGTGATTGAAAGTAATCATAGACACACACAAATCCCACATAATAAAGATACAAAATTAGGTTATAACATACATATTATAGTCTTAAAAATCAGTGTATGAAATTTGACTATAACCTACCACCTACAAAAGTCACCATTTGATCTCTAGGCAGGAATGGGAATGGGAATACAGAAGGAGGAGCTGAGAGGTGGAGGGGAAACACAGACCAAGTGGGGCCCGGCTGGGTTGCAACTAATATTACCTTCACCAATGTCCGGTAACTCCAGTTGTGGGGGCCGCACGTACCCAGCAACCAATGGTACGCATAGGATTGAAATCTCTATTCGTGAACCTGTATACATTAAGTTTATTTTTAGACAACATGCTTTGCTTTCAAAATCAAGATATAAAATTATTAATTTATTAAATGTTGATATTGAAAGAGGATTTGGATTATAAAAGGTTAGTACCTTGCTTTGTGGAGAGAGGTGCATGGCCTCGCTTCCTCCCAGCAATCATCCAGTTTTCAGAATTTGCGTTTATTTCATATACTACCTCATCCTGTTCGCAAATCAAATATATGATTTAACTCATTTTTACTTTTTTTTTTTTGAAGTGTTTATCGCCAAAAAAAAAAAGTAAAAATTTTAGAAACTTACATATTGTTCGTCCTCGAGAAATTTCAACCTTTCAACTCGCCATTTCATAGTAAAAAGCTGGCCGACTCTAAGGCCTTCTGGAGGAAGGGGAAGAAAACCAACTGCCAAACAAGGTTCCAACACTGGTCTTTGTAAAACAAGAGCACTCTTAAAAGTCAACTCATCCTCAAAACATAGGAGTATGCGATCCAAGATTTCTATCCCCAGATATTTTATATTTTATATTTAATATCGTATCACTATCAGGATTTATGTCTTTCGCTTCATCTGTCAAAAAAAAAAAAACAAGAAATTAATTACTTTTTATCTAAAGATGAGTGATAAAATGAGAAATAAAATAATGCTTGCCATTTGTGGCTAGGGATATAGTGAACAAGATTCCGGCTCTTGATGTAGAAGGAACTACAAGTGGAAAGAAGGCGGATGTTGGTCTTCCGTTACATTGACTTTCACCAGCAAGGGTAAAACCGTCTTTTAGGTCCAGCCAAGCATCGTGTATGGTTAAGTTAGCCTTCACTTGTGAGTGGAGTATTACCTGGGAATGTGAGTAAATAATTATTATTATTATTATTTTTATTTTTTTTGCATTTAACCCTGACAAGACTTGAGATCAATATACCTGCAAAAGCAAGGTGCCATCACTGCACTTATCTGCAAGACGTGTGCTGACATGGAATGGGTTGGTGAAGTGAACAGCTATAGTCCTACAAATAATGGCAAAAATGTTAATATTTTCACTACATTTGGGACTGAAAATCAAATTAAATTATTAAAAACTGAAAACCTATCAAATTTTTGATTGCGTGATACTCCAAATTCAAGTTTCAAAGCTACAGTCCTTAATCCATCCACAACACTCGGTCTTCCGGACGAAACTGCCCCTACAAGAAATATCAATGGATTATTAAAAGAGAAACACATTGATAATATTAATAAGATTAAATTACATTTTTAGTCCCTGAGTATAGCTGATTTTTGCAATTTTGGTCCAAAATATATAGTCATTTTACTTGGAACAGGAACCAAAAACGTTACAAAAACCTCAAATAAGGACCAAAACTGTAAGAAAAAGAATCGGGGCCAAAATTGAAAAAACCAGCTATACTCAGGGACCAAAAAATGTAATTTATTCTAACTCTAATAATAATAAATGAACCTGCAGATGTTCCTCTTGCAAGTCCTTCATTAATGGCACGAACAGGAACCCATAAAACACTCTCTATATTACTTGCCCAGTCAGGTAACTCTATGCTACCATTCTTCAAGGTTAATTTCGTAATTTCTTTAACAGAATCATTATTGTTCTTTTTATCCTCTAATCCGTATTTCTCCATTTCAATGGGAAATGACTCTTCTATCCTCAATCCAGGACCGGTATCAATATGTAAAGCAGCTCCTTTTAGGGAATAATTTATTGGTTTGACAATTATACCCACCCATTGAGGCTCATTCATTAACAATGCAGATGACACTGCTGCAGCAAGATCAACAAGTGCCCTTGGTTTGAACACCTAAAGTTAATAAACAAATGAAAATTTTGAAATGACCAATCTACCCCTGTAAGTACATCCAACTTTAAGAATAGAACTATCTAGTATTACTACCTTAAGAATTGGTCTAGTTGGCTTCTCATAACTCATAAGATCATCACTTTCAGCGGGACCACCTCTGGAGAATCCATGAGACCTAAAGCGTAAATGACCAATTTGCCCTGTAAGTACACCCAAGACATAGGAACCTGTTTTCTGAGGGGGTAATGAAAGTGTAATTGTGTTTCTCCCAGGGTTTAGTATTGTAGCACCCGAGCTCCTGATTGCCTAAATATTGAAAGAAAAAAAATCAGAATTTACTCTTTTTACTCAAATTAAGAAAAAAGAAAATACCTTAACACCTTCATCAGCATTACTAGTAGCTGTCAAGGTAAGACTGAGTGAGTCAAGAGTGATGTCATCAGGAAAAGCCACTCCATAAAGTTACACTCAGATTCCCTGGATCGCCATCACAGAGCTCTAATGGTGGTCCAGAGTTCCCAGAAAAGGTAATTAATGATGAGACATCTAGAGGGACAGGATGGTCCATTTCACCATGTGCAAGACGAACAACTTCTGATTGAAAAGATTCACGTTCTTTTTTCAAAAACAGATTTTTATCAAGAGAGAGTAATCTCACACAAGATGATAAGTAACCAGCTTGATCATTAAGTATTTTTTGACACTCAGCTAAATCAGGAAGCACATCAGCTAACAAATCCTCCCACCCTTCACCAGAATAAAGAGCACACACTTTTTCATATGACTTTTTTGCTAAGTCATATTCACCATGTTTGAAGCAAACAGCAGCAATTTCTCCATCAAGAACAACCCCATGTCTTTTCCACCATGAATGATGATAGTTTTCAGCAGCAGACTTTGAAAGTTCTAGATACTTTTTCTGAAAACACAAATCATGAATGATATGAGAAAAGAAAGTCAAACATCATCCAATGCTGAGGTGGACTTGGACATGCACCTCAAAATCTGCTAATGATGAGAATGATGTCCATAACCCATGATCAGATATTGTCTTTTTGAGAGCATGTTCAGCTGCAACAAAGATTTCTGCAAGTTTCATAGGGCGATCGATTGAGCTTTCAAAGTTTCCTGGTGTAGAATTGGTTCTTGACATGGATGTTGGTTGTAATTTGGGAGATGGAGATAATGAGCTGGAATTATATGATAAGCGGATCAGAGTGCCATTTTTTTACATGTATAACAAAATAAGGTTTTTGATATTTACCATGTTTGGTCCAAAACTCAAAACTGTTTTTCGATTTTAGTCCTTATGAAAAGGTTTCATATCGATTTTCTCCCTGAAACCTTGAAAGAAGGACAAAAATATATACAGAACCTTGAAATACGGAGAAAAATTGGAAAAAGTTTCGATTTTTGACTAAACACGGTAAAAATCAGAAAGCATAGGGACCATTTTTGTAACTATAAAAATACAGTTTTCCATACCCATCAAACATTTCAAACATATTTCCAGCAGAAAGAGAAGCTCTTCGCCTATTAGCTTCTCTCAAAAGAAATGAAGGCTCAAGAGGTAGTGGCTTCCTTTGAATACCAAAATGTTTGACCCTTGGAGTAGCTTGAAGAATCATCTATATAATATAATGTCAATTAAGTCAAATATTAACTTTCTTTATTTATTAATTTATTAATAAACATAATATAAGATATGAATTGATACCTTTTCTTTAGCAAGAACTTCAGATGCTGCATCAGAAGGAACAGAAGGCCAAACTGCTGGTTTAGGCCATGGTAGCATGCTAAGTGAAGCACTGTTTACAAAATTAAATAAATAATTATAAACTTTTTTTATCGTGAATAAATTACAAAGTTAAAAGCAATTTACAGGATAAAAGTTGAGTGGCTAGGCTACCTGTTGACTGGACTTCTTTCTATAGCAGAACCATAACCAAGTAAATATGCAAGTCTCATGAACTAACAAATTCAAGAATAAACTTTCAATAAATTAGACAAAAAAAAGTAGGTTGATATGTTGTTTTATAAGTTATAACCTCTTTACCTTAGCTCTACATAGAGAATATAGTTCCCCACGTACACGATAATATTCTTTTTCTATTTCGGGTCCCACAAGACCATTGCTATAATGAGCAGCAGTTGCATTGACTAAACTCAAGCAAGAAGTTATAATCCAAACTTCGCGTATACAAAAGGGTAAAATACTCTGGACAATAGAAAGAAATGTAATCAGAAAAAAACCAAGTTGTAAATTTAGAAAATATGAATTAATACTCACTGAAGTGAATGTCAGACCTCATGAAGAGCCAATGCTTTTGAGAAGCTAATAACAAATGAATACCCTCTTGATGCAACCTCAAATGGACGATTTAGCTTGAACAATAGCTGCAAATGTATTCCTCTCAGTGAAAGCATATACAAGCAATAAACATGTTACATGTATACATGCAACAAAGCATAAAGATTACCTTTGCTTGACAAGAAAATAGGTATTGTCTAAATTCAAACTCTCTAAAGGAATCATCTTGAACTATTTGTGTCAATGGTTTTTTTCCAGGGTTTAATAATGCAGCTTGATCATCTCCATGCTCCATTCCTCCAAAGTCCCTTTGTTGCCTGATATGTTAACTAATCACACACAAATAAAGTTAGTAAGTTCACATTTGTTAAAAAAGTTCAAAATACAACAAAAGAAAAGAAAAAAAAACACCTGTTTCCAAGTAGCAAAGCTCTAGTTCATCATATTCACGTAATGAATCTTCATGTAGATGAGCCATCTCAAACATGAATGCCAAACTTTCCTATATTTGCAAATAATAATTTAAAGGGAATCCAAGATCAATAAATTTTCAACAGATATAAAAATCATGGGTACCTTTAAGATGAAGAAGTTACAGAAACTCCAAACTGGTTTGAATCTTTGTTCACTGAGTTTACGGATTTCTTCTTCATAGAATTGTATACGTTTATCAAGAGTGTTTCGAATGCACTCAGTAATTTTAGATTCCAAATCTTCCCAGAAAGTTGTTTCAGGTCCATGCATATCCAATTTACAGCACCTGTTCCAATTACAAATTTACAATGACAGTTTATCTTTGTTCTTTCCCTTTTTTTTTGTATTGAAATCAAGATACATTTATTAAGATAGCAAATTTACCTTTCCCTCTTCTTTGAGCTAAAATCAACTTCAAGTTTGGCATAAACTTTTTTAGCCATCTTGTTTGCTTGATCATTGTGGGGTGGAGCTCTAGACACAAAGACAATAAACCACTCTCTCTCATCATTTTGCACGATTAATTTCAAACGGGGTTTTAGGATTGTCTTGAACTCATCCAGATCCTGTTGATGAGGTGATAACAACTTCATTTGTGTTGTTGAATTTAACAGATTAATAGAAATATTTAACCAAAGTGAAAGATGAAGTATCAGTTACCTCACAAGTCACAAGGACCACAGTTGCATATGGTTCTCTGAATGAAAATAAGAATTGTTCTTGAGGGAACCTACTGCGGAGCCTTGAATCTGTTGTTAGTATGTATTCAGCTGGCAGATTATCCACTAATAAGGGATTACGGGTTTTGTTATTCAATGTAGCTCTTCTTATTGGAAGTCGTTCCTCAAATCCCTTCTTGACTAAGGGCCACAAATCACTCACATCTTCAACTGTGATCAATTAAATAAGAGATTTTGAGATTTCAACATTCAGATATAACTCATAAGTTATGACGATATGGAAAATTTATAGCCAAAAACTGAAATATATGCATGAATTTTCAGTTCGAAAGAACTAGGTCTGAATTTAGAAGAGAAATGTTCGCTTAAATTATGCGATTGAGGAAACTCCAAGTACTAATGGAGGTATTACATTTACATTTCCGCAATGTAAACAAAAACCATCAACAAAATAGTAATAATTTGATCTACATGATTTATATTTCTATCAGTTGAATACAAACGCATGTTTCAAATGTAAATTAGGGCTACAAATAATAAAGGATGGACGGATTAATCAACTATACCAGCAATGACGACGCGTTCACAAGAATTCTTGATCGACAGAAACTGAGCTAGGAAATTCGCCATGTAGGTGATCGATCTGCCGCAATCATACGGAAATCAGTGGATCCAAAGGGCGTATGTCAACTGGGGTGGTTGAAATTGGTCGTAAACAGTCATATTAAAACCCCTTCAGTGTGATTTTAGAGTATAGCGATTTGATCGGCTCTTTTTCCGTCATTGTCGGGATTCATCTGATCTCATGCTTGTTTCTTGCACCTCTGGTGACCTCCGTGTGATCTAAAGCTGATTGGGTGTGTAGTTTGTAATCAACTTCAGTTTTGGCTGTAAATATTAAAATTTTGTACCTATTTAGGCTGTTATTCGATTTTTTGTACATTTTATTTCGATTTCTTTTACATATAAATTCGTACTTTATATTTGAATATTTGATACTTGCGAAAATCTCCATAAATACATTAGTTTCATTAGATGTTTGAGTTTAATAAAGTAATTGATCCATTATGAGCATGTTTGACATATAACGTTTAGGAGCTTCTAGTTGTTAGCGTTTGACAAAATGTTCCGTTTTGAACAAAAATGTTCGTTTGGAACTACAAGTTTTTATTGTTTAGTTTAAACAAAATGTTCTAAATCTAAAAGTTATTGCACGTAGTTTTTAACGAAATGCTACCGGTTACCATCTTTTCGCTACCCACTACCAGCTACCAGCTTTCCGTTTTCCGTTGTCCGCTACCCGCTACCAACTAGTTTTGTCAAACACGTCATATATAGAAAAACAAACTCCTTGTAAAAAACATTCATATTCATAATCTATAATATACATGGATGTACAATACATTATAACATAATTTTGAGTAAACTTTATAAATGATCCTTATGCTTTTCAAAAATCTAACATATAGTCTCTAAGTTCAAAAAATCTCATAGATAGTCTATGTGGTTCCAAAACTTTTAACAAACAGTTATTTTCAGCTAGTTTCGTTATAGATCTAATCTATTTCAAAATTTTAAATTACCTTTTTACCCCTTACATATTTATTTTTTATTTTTTCATTAGTTCTTAAATACAGGCCCACAAGCTACTCTTCTCGGCCTCACTCTCTCTCTCACTCTCTCCTCTCTCTCCTCTCTCTCTCTCTCCTCTCTCTCTCTCTCTCTCTCTCTCTCTCTCTCTCTCTCTCTCTCTCTCTCTCTCTCTCTCTCTCTAAGAACAAACCATCTTAAAAATTGGATCTTCACTTCTTTAGTTTAATAATTTGTTTACAAAATTAACAAAAATGAAATCAGAACACATGTTCTTCACAAAATAAGAATCTGAAACAAAAAAAAACCCATATCCAAACTCCAACAATCGTGGTTGGTTTTGAAGAATTCTCCATTATTTTTTTCGCTTTGATCTAAATCTGATATGTAATGCTTTATCTCGACATTTCACTGTTCCTGTTTGATTTTTGTTTTTGTAATTACGTTTTTACAAAATTGTAGTGAAATTAGGTTTTCAATAGCTTTCATACTACTTGGCATGGTAGCAAGCATGTCATTAGGAATTCCAACCATAACTTCAATTCCAGACTTACCTAGAGATTTTAGTGCACCATAATCTGATGGGTTTTGATACAATATATAAATGTGTTTTTCATAAAAATTGCAACGAAAGTCTTACAAAAATAACAAGTTTATTTTTAAGTTTATAACAAAACGAAACCATCTAGGATCCATTTATAAAGGTTAGAATTATATTAAAACAACCAAAGAATGTTTTAAAATGATAAATTCATTAAAGGAAAGGGAAAGAAAATTTTGACATAAAGAAAGGGAAGTGAAGGAAAATATTCATTATTCCGTGTTCCCGAGTTCAAAGGAAATGAAAGGAAAATTTTAAGTTTTGTGTTCCCGAGTTAGGAGGAAAAAGAAAATAAAACTTAAAATTTTTCTTCCCGTCACTTTCTTCCCAAATCCGCCCAATTTGGGAGGAAAATTTGTTCTGGTAAAGTTCTTATCTAAAGAATTGAGAAGCATCGAGTCAGTGATGAAAGTTAGATTATTTGAGGTGGTGGATCGAGGAAATAGATTTACGCCTTGTTCCCGAGTTCTACTTAAGGAGAGAAATGGGAGGATACGGAGGGAAATTGAGGGGTGTCGAAGGAAAACCGTGTTCCCGAGTTTCATTAATGGAAGGGGAGGGGAAGGATTTTGGAGCCATATTTTCCTTCCAAATTTTCCTCCCAAATTGGGCGGATTTGGGAAGAAAGAGAGGGGAAGGAAAATTTTCAGTTTTATTTTCTTTTTCCTCCTAACTCGGAAACACAAAACTTAAAATTTTCCTTTTATTTCCTTCGAACTCGGGAACACGGAATAATGAATATTTTCCTTAACTTTCCTTTCTTTCTGTCAAAATTTTCCTTCCCTTTCCTACAGTTTCAAAGCAAAGGGCCAAAATATCAATCTCTAAAGGTTTTGTGGTCAAAACGAAGAGGAAAGAAAAATATATTATTCCTAAGAGTTTTATGATGGTTCACTTGAGATTAAAAAAAATAGAGATCTTGAAATTTAACATCAGCCACATATTTCTTATTTTCCGCTCTAACGTTCCAGCATACCGGCAGCAGCGGGGTATGCCTAATCACAAATGATTATATAGCATAGAAGTATAATCATATATGATTATACATGTTTATAAGTATATGTCTAATCATAAATGATTACACATATATGTTTGTTCACAGATTGAGTAATCATATATGATTATGGCGGTTAGTGGCAAAAGAGATGGTGATGGCAGAGGTGGAGGTGGTATAAGTGACGAAGGTGGCAGTGGTGAGGTTGGTTGGTGGCAGAGGTGGTGGTAGTGGTGGTGGCGATGCGGTTGTGGTGTTTGGGATGATAGTGTAACGCTCGTAGATCCGGGCTAGTCAATTTAGAGCTAATAGGGGTCGAAAACGACTTTTCGACAAAAGATTATTTAGAATAAATAATCTTAACCGAGTTGTAGAATATGTCTCAAGGGTTCCGTACATATAAAGAACGCCGAAATCGGAGTTATAACGAAGAAGTTATGGCGCGTCGAAGTTTTTCGGCAAAACCGGCACGACACCGGGAGTCGTAAATAGTGAATTTACGATAGAGGACTTTTTAGCCTTAGTGATCTAAACAAAAGTTGTAGTATACATTAAACCGAGAAACATACAAAAAAAAAAAGAACGCCCAAATCTGACTTCGTATGAGGAAATTATGAATTTTCTGAGATTTAGCATAGTAGTGCACGGCCCGAAACTCGAATTTTAAGTCGAGCGGTTTTTGGACTACGCAACCTAAATAAGAGTTGAAGATCTCATTAATAGGAACTCAACGATAAAAAGACAGACGAAAACGAAGTCCGTATGAAGGAGTTACGAATTCTTCGCGGTCATTTAACAGTCTAATCTCCTCCTACTGTTAAATTTAAGATCGGTCGAGAATTAGCCAACGGAGTCTAAATGAAAGTTGTAGATCTTGTTTTTCCCTACGCGTGGTTATAAAGAATGTCGAAAATGGAGCTCGTATGCCAGAGTTATGATTTTTCTAAGTCGGGAGGCTGCTGTGCGAAATCGGGTGACGTGGCGAAATCCTGGCCGTTGCTTCCTCCCCAAGGCTAGCCAACAGAGGGTGACATGTGGCATGGACTCGACGAGTAGGTCCTCCTACTCGACGAGTTGGGCTGTTTCCCAGCCTATAAATAAGGGTGTCGGGTGAAACCTTCTCCTCACACCTCCCACTTCTACTCTCTCTCTCTAGAAACTCTCTCTAAGCCTCCCTAACCCCCCAAAGCATAGGGTAACTCCCTAGCACGACGCGGAAGCCCCAGAGCGCCTGATGGCTCCAAAAAGAAGAGCCTTCGACTCAGAAACTCTGCTTTGCGGAGCCCAGTTTTGAGAAAAACCCGTTGTAAGTGAGCTACGCCTAACCCTATCTTTAGTATAACTTATGTTTCAATATAGTAACATTATTAGGACCTTAAAATAACTATTTGGGCTATTATTATGAGTTATATAAGAGTGCTTCTTAACGCTTATATAATAGTAATAATGGCTAGACTATTAATTAGTCTCGGTAAATATTAGACTAAACCCTAGTGGTAATGATACTAGGTTTTGTCAAAGGAAATTGTTTTAAAAGTAACGAAGTGCTGTCCAAGTGCAGAGTCACCACCTTAACAAGTGAGTGCATAGTTACTTTCATCTTACTCATAGATATGAAGTATTTAATATAAATTACATGTTATGTGTGCATATTGTCTGTATACTTGCCGTCTATGCTGGGTGAAAGATTTTTATACATGTTTTAAATGATTTAAACTGTATATGTATTTTATATCTACAAAATGTGTTGGGTAAAACATGGGTAGATGAAATAGTTGATGTGTGACAAAAACAAAATGAGGAGAGGTGATATAGACCATGAGATAAGGGTGAGAGGTGAACCATGAGGGAAGCATTTTACCCAGGTGTTGGCCTCGTCATCTAGCAGAGTATGGATGACAACCACGGACTACTCTAGACAGTCCAGTGGAACACTAGCAGGCTCGCAACCTGTAGGTGTTATTTGAACTGTGTATTCACGAGCTGTACTCTAAAAACCCATTGACATGTATTGCGAGTGGATTCTTGGAAACGATACTGTCGATAAACGAGATAAAAACCCATTGACATGTATTGCGAGTGGATTCTCGGAAACGATACTGTCAATAAACGAGATAACCCTGGCAGATGCGCCTAAAGGACTCTACCGACAGAAGCGCCTAATAGAGAACCTCGTAACCCCGATAGATGCGCCTAAGGGACAATACCGGCAGATGCGCCTCATAAGAAATGTCACAAATCTGATAGCTGCGCCTAAGTGATAATATTAGTAGCTGTGCTTGACAGATGCATCATTAGCAACGATGGATTTCATGCCTATTCCTTAGGATAATCCTTAGGAATGAATGAACGAGAAATAGCCGATTCTTAGGGTAGATCCTTAATAGTAAATAAGATAATGGGGATGGGTAATTGGGTTGATTGATTGTTTGATGATTAAACATAATAATTATATTATTGTGGGTTGAAAACCCTATGTACTCACCAGGTTACCCAACCTGACCCACTCAGTTTATTTATATCACATGTGTTGATATGAAGTCACATTACACTGAGAGATTAAGGAGATATAAATCACTAGTGATAATGAATGTAAGTTATGTTTATGCTTATGCTTCTGTATTGACAATGACATCCCAAATGTTTTAAAAGGAATAAAAATACTTTTCTTTGGAAATGCCTTGATAACGTATTTATCA